GCCATTTAAGATAGAATTGAGGAGGACTTTCTTCTTTCAGAAGGACATACGTTTTTGGAATATCTTTCCCTGGGAGCAGTGGAGACTGGATCACAGAGTATATTCAGGGCTGGGTTAGACAGATACTTTTGATCGACAATTTTTATTAAGAATTCTGGGGGAGCAGGCAGCAAAATGGGGTGAAGGCCACAATCGGATCAACTATGATCTTACTGAATGATGGAGCAGGTTCAAGGGGCCAAATGGCCTAGGCCTGCCTTTTTGTTTGCTTTATTCTTTCATGGGATGTGGACATTGCTGGCAAGGACTGCATTTGTTGTCCATTCCTAATTACCCTTCAACTGAATAATGGGATTTGATTTCCAGTTTTACCTCAGTTGATCATGACACATAGATCAGGAGTTGTGGTTATGTGGCCCGGATCCTGGATGAAGATATTTTCTAATCAGCTTGTTGAGAGATGTCACTACACATCTCTGGAGCAGGTGAGACTTAAACTTGGGTCTCCTGCCCCAGAGGCTGGGATATTACCACTGCACAAGAGTCCCAGAATTCTGGATGAATCAGTTTCATCTAAACAAGGTAATTTCTACGTAATAATTGATTTCCATCTCTCTTTGGCCAGGACCATCAGTGTGAGTCATTTACATGAGATCAATGATAAGCTGTTACAGCAACATAATGAATTAGGGATGCATAATGCATTTTAATAGCTCCATTCGATAGTATTCAATTTTCATCATGTGATTGGCGGTAACCATGATTTAATTCAGTAAATATTAAACAGCAGTTACTGAACAATAACCAACTCCCCAGTTCAGCTCTGGTTATGCCAAAGCAACCAGTTCCAGACATCATTATAACCTTGCTTGAAACATAGGTGATATAGCAGGGATAAGAGTTGTTCCCCTTGACATCAAGGCAGCATTTGTCTGAACGTGATATTAAGGAGCCTGTGCAAAATGGAAATCAATGAAAATCAGAGGGAAAACTCTCCAGTGATAAAGAAATATTGAGCATAAAAAGATGTTGCGATTGTTGGAGAAAATCATTTTCGTCCCAGTACTGCAGGAGTCCCTCATGGTCGGGTATGCCAAGTATCTTCAGTTGCTTCTCTAATGAGCTTCAATCCACCAAAAGGTCAGAAATGGCTGAACAATGTTCAGTATCATTCTAGATTTCTCAGATAAAGAAGTAATTTGCGTCAGACATGGACAACATTCAAGCTGGGTTGAAAAGTGACAAGTAAATTTGTGTCACTTAAGTGCCAGGCCAGTAAGAGAGACCTTGACCAGAATGCTGAATCTCCAACCATCCACAATCTTGAAATTAAATGGCCGATCCAGTTAAAATAAACATTTTAAGGTTTTGGAGAACATTTGTAGCTCGGGTTCTGGGTGTTGAGGTTGGTTGGCTCGCCAAGCTGGTTTGTTGTTCCGCAGATGTTTCATTACCATGCTGGGTAACATCATCAGTGCAGCCTCCGACGAAGGGGTGTGTTTTCCCGCCTGGTTTTTAAACTCTGGAGTCCATTGAGCTGGATTGCCTCACTTGCAGTTTTCCTTCGTAGTGGAGTGTATATGGGGTCAATTGATGGCTTTCTTCGTGAAGTACCAGGCTTCTAGGAATTCCTGTGCCTGTCTCTGCTTAGCTTGTCCCAGGATTTTGGCATTGTCCCAGTCGAATTGGTGGTTCTCCTTATCCTTATGGATTAAGATGAGTGAGTATTGGATGTGTCTTTTTGTAGCCAGTTGGTGTTCATGTACCCTTGTTGTTAGTTTCCTTCCTGTTTGTCCGATGTAGTGTTTCTCACAGTCTCTGCAGGGGATCTTATAGATGACATTGGTCCTGTCCATGACGGGGAGTGGGTCTTTAGTTCGGGTGAGCAGTTGTCCTAGGGTTCATGTGGGCCTATGTGCCACTCTGATGCCCAGCAGTCGTAGGAGTCTTGTGGTTAGTTCCGATGTGTTCTTTATGTAGGGTAGTGTGATGAGTATGTCGGGGCGTGTAGTATCTTCCTGACGTTGTTCGTGTAGGCATCTTCTGACCCAGTTTTTTGGATATCCATTATCCTTGAAAACCTGGAAGAAGTATTCTTCTTCCTCTTGGCGTAGTTCTGTGTTGCTACTGTATCTACAGAACTATGAGTTGAACGTGGTTACCTTCACTGTTGAACTTAGAGCAATAGTGAAACAGTACTTCTGGCTGAAGTCAGACAAAATCACAAGGTTCCAAAGCATCCCCTTTCAGGGGCATTAAATTTCACACCCATTTTGGATAGCAAAGAACGTGAATTTTGTATTATGCATCAAAAGAAAATTCAAAATTTTTCATTCCCTTGGTCTTATGTGGTCTTCCCAAAGAAGATATTTTTAACTCATTGATTAAATTCAGTTTAAAAATTGGACAATGGAGGCAGTTTTAAAAGCAATTTTGTGCCAGCAGCTCCCTATACAAATAAAATACAGCTTCTTTCTCATAGCAATCAGCTTAATTACAGCCATTCAAAAGACCAATTAAAGCAGTGCTAGTCAGTTACCAGAGTGTGAATCTAAGCATTTCTTGGGTGTTCTATGTAGTCTACAATTAAATGAACCACATCCATTAAGTGACACTTCTCTGCATTTTACCAAGCTCCAATTACCTTTAATCAGTCCCTGTGAGTCTCTCCTTAAGTAGAAAACATCACTGTACAAAATGAATAGTGTAATTTGAGCCAACAGTAAAGCTATCACCTGGCTGTAAAACCTAGTATTTCATTCAAAGTTACAATCCTCATTTGTTCATCTGTCAAATGAGGAGGAAGAGATCTAATGACTAAAAAGTACACTCTAATCAAATCAATTAGAATCGTTGCAGGAGGACAAAAAAGTCATTCTGCTATTAACTCCTTGTTGCTACCACACTTTTTTTAATAGAATCCCTACAGTGTGGAAGCAGGCCATTCTGCCCATTAAGTCCACACTGACCCATTGAAGAGTATCCCTTCCAGACTCACACCCCTAACCAATCCCTGTAATCCTGCATTTCCCATGGCCAATCCGCCGAGCCTGCACGTCTCTGGATACTATGGGCAATTTAACATGGTCAATCCACCTAACCTGCACATCTCTGGGCTGTGGGAGGAAACCAGAGCACCCAGAGAAAACCCACCCAGACCCAGGGAGAATGTGCAAACTCCACGCAGACAGTCACCCGAGGGCGGGATCGAATCCGTGATTAGCTCTTCCTAAAAGCTAATTATATCTTGGAGTAGGGGTAGTGCGGTAGAGTACAGTAGCATTGGGGAAAATCCAATAAATCTGGAAAAGAAAGTTTTGTTAATTATTTTCCTACTTTTTGCCCAACAGGTCATCAAATTGACAAGATGGCAAAAGCAGAAAAGCAGCAACATGGACGTCACAGTTGAGGACTATGATAATTGGGTGGCAGAAGGTGAGAAATTGAGGTTTGACAGGACAGTGATGGGGCAGGGGGCTATAATTAGGAGGGAGAAGCCAAAGCAATAATCACGGTCCAAAAGGAGCAATGCAAAGAACACCTCCTGTTCCACTTTTAATTATACAGTGGAAACTTGATGCAAGTTAGCTAATCCAATGCTCCCCCTCGATATAACACCAGTGATGAAAACAATAATATGTGTTGGTGACAGATTAGCGTGCATTTCCCATTTTTACACTTTTTAGGAACTACCTCAAGCATCAAAAGTTTTTTTTAAGATCAAGGCCAATATATCATAAGGTTTTGAAATCTAGAACCATAATACCAGTCCAACAACATATCATATATATTTTTTGTATATTGGTAAATCTGGTTTAAAAAAAGCCAAGTTGCTCCAAGATAATCACCTTTCTTTGCCAATTAGAACATAAAGAGCACCCTTGGTTGAGTAACTCTGTGCTGGCTCTTTGCAAGAGGAATCCAAAATTAATTCCAATGACCTGCTTTCTAACCATTGTCCTTTAATCCTATCTGCTTCAAGTTTACACCAACATTTTCCTTAAACGATGCAATATTCTCTATGAACTATTCTCTGTGGCAAAGCATTCTGTTTTCACAGAGCTCTGCATGAAAGACTCCCAGGCATGGAGCTGAATTTTACCATAATTTAAGGACACTCATTTTAGGGGAGTCTCATGGAAGCTTGGTGACTTTCCTCACGCATTTCTGCACTGCTCATAATACTAATTATGCATCTCTCACTCCAGACACCTTATTACATTTCCTGATTGAGAATGGAACACCCTCCAACCGACCACACAGACCTCCTACAATACTCCTCTTAGACGTTCAAACATGGCCATTCAGTTGGATACTGCAAAGGCTGTGGGCTCTGACAGCATTCTGGCAATAATACGAAAGACTTATGCTCCAGAACTTGCCGCACCCCTGGCCAAAGTGTTCCAGTATAGCTACAACCCCGGTATCTACCTGACAAGGTAGAAAAAATGCCCAGGTACACCCTGTACTCAAAAAGCAGGACAAATCCAACCTGGCTAATTATTGTCCCATCAGTCTATTCTCAATTATCAGTAAAGTGACAGCAGGTGTCACCAACAGTGGTGTCAAGCAGCATCTGCTCAACAATGACCTGGCATTGATGTCCAATTTGGGTTACGCCAGGGCCTCTCAGCTCCTGACCTCATTATGGCCTTGGTTCAAACAAAAGAAATGAATTCCAGAGGTGAGGTGACAGTGACTGCCCTTGACATCGAGCTTGCATTTCCAGCTCTACACCTTGTTATCTCAGACTCCAGCATTGGCAGTTCCTACCCTCTCTGAGTGAGTTTTAACCCCACTGCGAAGCCTCTTCTAAGGATGCCTACCTTGAAGAAGTTACCCTCCTCCCTCCGGAAAGACGTCTGTGGATCTCTCTCCCACTGAAACCCTCTGGTAATCTCTTCCCCCTCTCTCTATTTATTTGAGTGTCCTTCCCCTCCCCCATTTCTAAAGAAGGGTCCAGACCCAAAACATCAGCTTTCCTGCTCCTGTGATGCTGCCTGGTCTGCTGTGTTCATCCAGCTCCACACCTTGTTATCTCAGACTCTTGTTAGATCCCGTTTGGTACTGAGAGTAGATCTGGGCACCGCTCCTTAGTAATTAGCCTTTGGAAGGAATATAACATAGGTTTAGAAGAATGATAGCTGGACTTCAGAGTTAAGTTATGAGAACTGATTACACAAATTAGGCTTGTTTTCTCCAGAATTGAGAAAGTTAAGGGTGCTCTGATCGAAGTCTCTGAGATATTAACAGGAAAAGACAGAATAGATAAAGATAAACTATTTTAACTGATTGGGGATTCTTGAACTGGGGGCATAGTCTGAGAATTAGGGCCAGACTGTACAGGAGAGGTGGTAGGAAGCACTTCTACACACAAAGGGTGGTACATATTTGTAACTCTCTTCCACAAATGGCAGTTGATACTAGATATGTTGTTAGTTTTAAATCTGACATAAATTTTTGTTAAGTTACTATGGGATATGGAATTAGGCTGCAGATCAGCCATGATCTCACTAAATGGTAGATCAGGCTCAAGGAGCTAAATGGCCTACTCCTATTCTGCTGTTCCTATGAGTGATTGTGTCATCAAGGAGCCCTAGCAATACTGAAGTCAATGGGAATCGGGGGCGGGGGCAGGGACACACTGCCAGTTGAAGTCATAACTGGTACAAAAAGATGATCATTGTGGCTATGGGAGATCAGTCATCTCAGCTCCAGTATATCTCTGCAGGACTTCCCGTCTGAGCCACTCACCATTCTTATTTGGAAGTATATCTGTTCCTTCATCGTCATTCAGAATTAAAATCTTGGAATTCCCTCCCAAAGGGCATTGTGGGTCTACCTACAGCACACAGACTGCAACGGTTCAAGACAATAACTCACCACCATTTTCCCAAAAACATCGAGAAACAGGCATTAAACGCTGGCAAGGCCAGCAATGCCCACATCTCACGAACGAATTTAAAAAATTGACACATGGCAGTGTGTTTGCCATGCAAAATGTTGCCCCATGCATTAGGTGTGACATTGATATAGCATGTTGCCAAACATCAACAGATTAGTGAACAAAGAGAGCAAGCTAAGAGTCCTGAGATATACTCTGTCTGATGCACGAGATGGGTGCCTGTTCCTGTGTGCAAAGCTGCTTGGCAGCAGTATCACAATGTAAGGTATCGGTGAGCTCCAAAGTGTAGCATTATGATTTAGTCCAAGTTGTGCCATGATCCTACAGTGAGGCCAGTGCTTTGTTGATGCTGCCTTACATGGACAGAGTACTGGTGGTGACTGCTCATGGAATGTATCCTGATGTGTTGGAGAATATTAGCCAACATGGAAAACTGGAGAGGACAACAGCGATCTGCAGCTGTCAGAATACTGTCTCTCGTTTTCAAATCAGAAATTGATGCTGTGTAGTTAGAATGGCAATCTGCATGTAAATAAGGCAGGGTAAGGCAATAATGAAATGTTAACGAGTAGACATAAGGCCCTCACTGCTTACTAATTGTCACCTTACTGATTCCCATTTAGCCATTGAACCAATAAGGAAAATTCAGGCACTTGTCCCTTGATGCTGACCATCCCACTTTTTCCATTCTCGTTGTCTTCTCCCAACTTTCTTGCCATTGACCACACCAGTCAGTCACTGGAAATGTTACAACCCTAATCTTTCTCCTCCTCCTTAATGAGGATTTTTAATTTTTGATCATTGGTAATCCCTCAGTACATATTTCCTGATGAGTAAAATACCTTTTAATCTTAAAATCATGTATTAAGTCTCCTCAGCTTTGTCAGCTTCAGTGTAAATAGTCGTGGTACCTCAAGTTTGTTGCACATAAACTTGTTTTTGTCTGACATGAGTGATGTTGTTTTCACTGAATCACATGTTAGGCCATTTCAGAAGGCAATTAAGGTAAACCACATGGCTAAAATCACACGTAGGCTAGATCAGCTAATTTTCTTTGATAAGAAATACTGGTCCAAATAACCTGGCAAACCCTGACCTGGGAGCAACAAAAGTTAAGATGCTTAAGCCATTTGAATAGACATATAGGTATCCCTTAATGCTTGACAAAAATAAAATCCATCTCAGGTTTAAAATTAACAACTGATCTAGCATCACCTGCTGTTTGTGGAAGAGAATTCCAAACTTCTACCTCAATTTGTGTGTAGAGGTGCTTCTTGTCATCTCTCCTGAATAGTCTGGCCCTAACTTTTAGACTATAACCTTAGTTGTAGAATCCCCAACCAGTGGAAATAGTGGAAAGAGAGGCAAGCTGAAGAGTAGAGATCAGCACAAAGATGCAGACAAAAGAAGGGAAAACAACAGAGACAGAGAGAGGGGAACACCAAATTCATGCAAAAACAAGTCAGAAAAAACCTCACCATAAAACCCGCGGACAAGGGAGGCGCAGTTATAGTATGGCGCACTGACCTCTACATCGCCGAGGCCAGACGCCAACTCTCCGACACCTCCTCCTACCGCCCCCTTGATCATGACCCCACCCCTGAGCACCAAACCATCATCTCCCAAACCATCCACAACCTCATCACCTCAGGTGACCTCCCACCCACGGCCTCCAACCTCATCGTTCCCCAACCTCGCACTGCCTGCTTCTATCTCCTTCCCAAAATCCACAAACCTGAATGCCCTGGTCGACCCATTGTCTCCGCCTGCTCCTGCCCCACCGAACTGATCTCCAACTATCTAGACTCCATTTTCTCCCCCTTGGTCCAGGAACTCCCTACCTATGTCCGTGACACCACCCACGCCCTCCACCTCCTCCAGAACTTCCAATTCGCCGGTCCCCAACATCTCATCTTTACCATGGACGTCCAGTCCCTATACACCTGCATTCCCCATGCAGATGGCCTAAAGGCCCTCCGCTTCTTCCTGTCCCGCAGGCCCGACCAGTCCCCCTCCACTGATACCCTCATCCGCTTAGCCGAACTCGTCCTCACACTCAACAACTTCTCTTTCAATTCCTCCCACTTCCTACAGACAAAGGGGGTAGCCATGGGTACCCGCATGGGCCCAAGCTACGCCTGCCTCTTTGTAGGTTACGTGGAACAATCCCTCTTCCGTACCTACACCGGCCCTAAACCCCACCTCTTCCTCCGTTACATTGATGACTGTATCGGCACCGCCTCGTGCTCCCACGAGGAGCTCGAACAGTTCATACACTTCACTAACACCTTCCACCCCAACCTTAAGTTTACCTGGACCATCTCTAACACCTCTCTCCCCTTCCTGGACCTCTCTGTCTCCATATCGGGCAACCACCTAGAAACCGATATTCATTTCAAGCCCACCGACTCCCACAGCTACCTAGAATACTCCTCCTCCCACCCACCTTCCTGCAAAAATGCTATCCCCTATTCCCAATTCCTT